TTGAACCATCAGTCAAACACATGGGATCCAGCCACCTTAGCCATGCCACTGGCTGTCCCTCTTTTTTCCTTTGTTAAAGTTTATTTATTAATTTTTTCTGTATGAGAGAGACAGGTACCTCCAACAAGGCACTCACTCTGTGACTCACACCAGGCCCAAATCAGCCCACATCGTGGGCATGTGCACATGGCAGCATACACGGGGAGGCCCAGGACACAGATGGCACTCCCACCGGAGTCCACATCACTGCTGTGCCTCTGCTGCACCACTGGCTGGCCCTCATCTTATTGCTGTCTTGTTTACAAACTTTTACGATTACGCCATTAAAAAACCCAAACTTTATGGTTTGACATTCAAGGCTTTCTATGATCTGATTCCAACCAAGTCTTTGATGGTACAATTTTTTAATTTAATTTAATTTGTTTTATTTCTTAATTTTTAAAGATTTTTGCCATAGGGCACAAATGAGAGAAAGACAGAAGGAGGGGGGAAAGTTAGAAATCACCCCCCAGGGGAGATGGCCATGTCACAATCCCTTCTCCATTCTCCTCCCACAATTTTGGGCATGCATGCAGCACACCTGGTGTGTTTTTCAGGTCTTCAGGTCAGGAACTGGAACCATGCAGTTAACCATAGGGATCTAGCGCCTTAGCCACCATGCTACCTCCTGGCCCTCTCTCTATTTTATACTGCCGTAGGGTACAGTGTGACATTTCAGCACACACATACCAGGTGCAGTGATCAGATCAGAGTGACAGCACGCACATCACCTAACCATTTACCGTTCCCTTGTGCCTGCCAAGTCTGCACTCTCCTTCCTCTGCTTGTTAAGCTTGCACTTTGGGCAGGGCAGGGTTCCTGCTCCTCTCTACGCTGTTCTCTCCTGTATACTGGCTAATATTCTCCTCTGCTTGGGATGTCCATTGCATCAATTCCTACCCATCTTTCAAGGCCAAAACACATGTCAACCTCTTCTGAGCAGTCTTCTCTGGGTGATGGACATAGAACATCAAATGGAGGGTGTTTGAGACTACTCTGCCACTTGGGTCCTGAAGGATTACAGGAAGGCTTTTTTACATGTGAAATGGTTACCTCCACACCCAAGTTTTACCTTGGTTACGAGATATCAGTGGGTCATCATGTCGTAAAGTCCTTAACAACGATCCTTGCGTATGGTTAATGTCAAAGAGTGTGACTGGTTGCTCTGGCTATCCCAGGCACTTCTGAGCTCCTCTTTGAATTCCCGTCCACTTCGAGCCTCTCTTATATCGTCTTTCAATATCTAATTTGGCATCTTAGATATTAGAATGCATGTTTTATTTTCCTCATTCAATTGATTATTTCTTGAAAGAAAGATTTGTTTCCTTATCTATTGCACTGTTAACTGCTAAGCAGTTCCTCAAACTGTAGGTGAAGCTTGGCTTTTCATTGTGAAATTACTAACGAGACGATGTTTTACTTTCCTCTTCCTTTCAAAAGTTGACAATGATTTTTAAAGATCAATTTACTTAGATTTGAGGATCCAAGATGTTGGATTCTGTTTTCATAGAAAGGTAGAAGACAATTTGTGAAGTTCAATTAAATCTCAGCCACTTCAGGCTCTTACATGACATGAGGCCACAACTCACCAGCCAACTCGATCTCATTATTTCCCACCATGCATTCTATGGTCGTTGTGTAATACTCTTTGGGAACACATGGTTTCATGGTCAAATGAGTTTGAAAAACATTAGATTCTAATGATCCACTCACGGAGAAGTGTAGGACACATTAGCCAACTAAAATGTGTAAGAAGTTCTGTAGTGAAGAAATTAGCATTCCCTAATTTAATCCTCAGATTGTCCTTAGAGGACGGATGTGATTGAGTTTATTTAACAGATGAAGAAATTGATGGTCAGATTCTTCCAGGTTAAGCGGGGAGACCTAGATTTTGAGTCAGATATTTGTGACCGCAGAGCTCCTGCTCTAGACCACAACTCTTCATATTCCCTAATTTCCCTGATTAGGAAATGTTTTTGGTTACCTTTTTATTGAAAACTAGTGCTCCTTAGAACGCACTTTGGAAACCAGAGCCTGGCCACTCCCAAGCAACTTGGTTTATGCCATGGTCATTACACCTCTGTGCCTCTGCAAGCCGGCTTCTCCTGCCGCCTCGCAGCTGCCTGGGCTCTTGGTATTTCACTTGCTCTGGGAGGTCTATTTCACATACGGCTCTGTGGGAACTTTCCTGGGTTACAGCAGGCAGTTTGCAAAGCACCTCCTGTGTTCCTGCCTGTTCCCTACAGTATTGTTGACGTTAGGTCTGTCTTTGCCAATCAAGGACTATGTCTGGGTAAAGTACCTGGCACGGAATGACGCTTGGTTAAGGTTTATTGAATTACAACCGTGTCTCATATCCGTGAGCTGGGGTTTTCAGGCCCAGGTTTGTGGACTTGGGCTCCACACCGCAGCTGCAGCCTGGACTAGGCCTGCGTTGCCACCAGGAGGGTCTGACCTAGGCGGCGGGCTCTGGCAATTCGCTAGTTAACACTTCCCTCCTTCCTTGTCCCTCTCACATGCTGCCTCCCACTCCCAAGCAACTTGGTTTATGCCATGGTCATTACACCTCTGTGCCTCTGCAAGCCGGCTTCTCCTGCCGCCTCGCAGCTGCCTGGGCTCTTGGTATTTCACTTGCTCTGGGAGGTCTATTTCACATACGGCTCTGTGGGAACTTTCCTGGGTTACAGCAGGCAGTTTGCAAAGCACCTCCTGTGTTCCTGCCTGTTCCCTACAGTATTGTTGACGTTAGGTCTGTCTTTGCCAATCAAGGACTATGTCTGGGTAAAGTACCTGGCACGGAATGACGCTTGGTTAAGGTTTATTGAATTACAACCGTGTCTCATATCCGTGAGCTGGGGTTTTCAGGCCCAGGTTTGTGGACTTGGGGCTCCACACCGCAGCTGCAGCCTGGACTAGGCCTGCGTTGCCACCAGGAGGGTCTGACCTAGGCGGCGGGCTCTGGCAATTCGCTAGTTAACACTTCCCTCCTTCCTTGTCCCTCTCACATGCTGCCTCTGGCAGCCTAAGGCCAGGAGGCATGATTAGGTCACAGTGGGCCTCTCTCATCAGTGTCTTTTTGGGGACAACACTGACCCGTCTTTTCCAGGGTGCTGTCCAGGTTACGTCACAAAGCCCGCAGTGATTGCGCCGGGCAAGTCAGCCTGCTCGGGATTCTGCAGCAGCCCGGAGGGCCTTTTTGTTTTTGTCCTGGGACCCAGAGGGGGGGCCTGACGGAGGGGTGGGGCCTGCCGGAGCGGCTTCGGGGGATTCGGGCAGCCGCTGTGGGATCCCGTGATAAGTCCAGGCTCCAGCCCCGGCAGTCAAGTCAGGGCACACTGCGCATTTCTCGGCCACACCCAGCCCCAGGGTGCACTTAGGCGCCATGCAAGCGGGGGCCATCCCAGCTCTCCTGCTGTCTGCAATGAGGTCACTGGTCTGGCCCTGGAGACCCCCACCCCCACGCGCCCCAAACAGGGTGGGGGCTTCTCCAACTGGCCTGGGAAGGGCCGAGAGGGTGCGGAAGAAGGGATGGTAATAATCTTGTCCGTCCCGCCGCTGCTCCCTTTGTCAATGTTCTGTGGGCCATGAGGAGAGAAGCGAGAGAAGGTTCAGGAAGGAGAAGGCTCAGTTGGCAGTCGCCGGCCACTCATCCCACTGTCAGCCATGGATGGAGAGAGACGACTCACAGTGCCGCTGGGCTACCTTGCAGCGAGCTGACCCAGACGCCCTCTTGCTTTTCTTTAATAATGTCCTGCCCATTTCTTTCACCAAGGACAAGGCAGGGGAAGCCACTGTTGCCCACCTATGTAACCAGAATTTGACAGAGGAGAAAATAATCCAGAAACAGAAATGGCCAGCCCAGCACGAAGGCAGAGCCCTCTGAGCCGAAGAGCAGCGGCAGGCAGTGCCTCACGTCTCTCACCCAGGCCTAACAGGGTTGTTTCCTAGTTTCTGTGCCAGTGGGCTTTGCAGGCCGAGGCCACCTAGATGTCCCTAACTAACCAAGCACAGTCCAAGTCCCAGCGATTTTAACCTCTGCCTGTGGGTTTATGTGCACGGAGGAATGAAACGTGGGGATCAGATGAAATCTTAGCCTGCCAGAAGAACTCGTAGCTCTCTGTGGATATCTAGTTTTTGCACCTGGAATTCTGCCTTGGAAAGATGGGAGCACTGATAACAGATTTTCTCAGGGCGATAGAACAGTGGATCGCACGTCCTCCAATCCACCTACTTCCATGACAGACATATAGGAAAACAGGGAAACAGCCTAGCCTCTCTGTCCTATCTGTTCCTGAGGCACAATTGGAAAGGCAACGTCACTTTACTCAAACAACAACTTTGTCAGCAAACCACGACTTGAATTAATATATGCTGAGTTGGCTCTTTCCCCCTCCCATCAGGATGTATAATATTGGTAACATCCTCCCACGTCCATACGAAAGAAAGGTCAAATGATTTATTCAACTTTTAAAAACATCTTTTCCCAAACAAGTTTATAAAAAGTCATAGTAGCCACACATGAGAAAAATTTGGAATGATATTAAAATCTTCCATGGGAAAGATTAAGATCATAGCTCCAGAAGTTGAGTTGCATATAATGGAAGAAGAAAACAGAAATACTCTTACGTTGGCAATAAATTAGCTCATCCCCACCCTGGCAAATGGTAGGCTGATTAGACTGGAGATTTTGAAGGATACCCCCTCCCATTTTCTAAGAAAAATGGCATTTTTCATATAGTCAAGGATATTTCACAGAGGTTCATATATCAAGCAGAACAGAAAGTAGGAGAAAGCAGTACGGCTGAGGTTTTTCGACCTCTGATTTATCATTTGTTGACATATTTTCTACAAGTTCCATAATTTCTTTACAAGTAGCTGTCTTGAGTTCTTCCAGTAAATATTTTGATGAAAGCCAAACAGGAAGGAAAAAGAGAAAAACTGAAGTGAAAACAGTAACTTACCTTTCCTGGGCATTGCTGATATCAAACTTTCCCCCAAAACATGAAGTTTTCTTGTTTTGATTGTCCCATGAATTCAGAAACCTTCAAAAATGTGAAGTAGAAATATGTGTTTATTATTCAAAGCTGCTCCAAACCAATGCAAAAAATAACTTGATGAAAAAGAAAATGCTCGTCTGATCATGAGAATGCGTTTGAAGCTTGGAGCTCATGCTGGCGTACGAAGTTTTGCAACTGTCTTTCTCGGTTTAAACAACCTCCCACTCCTTCTCCCAGGCACTTGCCAACTTCTCTAATTTAAAGCAACTGCGATCCTTCCCATAATACTCACATTTCAAAGAGCTTAATATATACACTAGTTTGGAAGGAGTAAGAGAGGATAACATTCTTCCACAAACCCCAGATTCAGACAAATGGAAAGCAAGCCTCAGGTATCTAAACAGTTCTTTCTTTTATCCATTGTTTTCTCACCACATTACTTCAACCTGCTTTTGCCTTTTAAGTGGTACCTAGAGACCAAATGGCATCACTTCACTGGAAGCAAAAACAGCATACGGAGAAGTGGATGCTCCGACTTAGGGAACAGGAATATTAGTGAAATTTGAGTTTAAACAGTACTTTGCTTAGAGAGTTATTTCCATACAACATATCCCCAATCTATGTTTGAACATGTTAAATTATTGTACATGTTTTCATAAAGGGGAAAATACCTAAAGTGGTTATTTAAATTGGTCTTATGTTAAACTGTATCCTACTAGAGTTCTTCGAAAAGTTTGTGACAAATGGCTTACTGAAAAGTGTGAGAGTTGCTTTTGGTGTAAAATGTTTGGAGTTGACGCATATAGTATTTTTTAAAAAAATACACATTTTCCATAAATTTTTGAAGTCTTTATGTGAATCTTTGCCTCTAGAAAAATATACCTATTTTCAGGGTCTCTGTAGTTGAATGAATTTTTTGACATTTAGTTTATAACCAATGTTACAAATTTTGCTATTTCCACTACCCTTCTCCGGCTGTCACTAGACTCTTTCACACACACACACACACACACTCATGCATTTGTGAATTCAAATTACAGTTAGCTTAAAGTGAATGGTGACTTTAAAAATATTTTAGAATAATTCAAAACAGGTCTTGCTCAGTACCTGATAGATAATAGGTGCTCAATAAATACTGATGAATATAAATTACTGCATATGTCAGAACAGTCAGCAGAGTTTGCCAGTTTGGTTTGCATGTGTTTTCTTTCGGGATGGTTAATATAACGAAGCTTGTATAGACATAAATGGGAATATGAGGCTGCATCAGACATACATAAATGAATAGTTATGGTGTAGTAAAATCCCGTACATGGATAGAAAACATCAGTCAAATAAGTAGATCTTCTGGTAGGGAATAGAAATATTGACACAGGCACAATCTATTAAATATGCCCACTGCACAAAGTTATGTGAACAAGTCTCAGGTCAAAAGCTTCATTCATCATTTCAAAATCTAAAGGTTCTTTCTTATTGTGTGTGTGGTTTTTTTTTTTCCCACCGAAAACACTGTTAAATAATAAACAGAGGTTAATACTTCTGATTGATATAGTGCAAAGAGAAAAAGAGTCTTAAACTACAGGGAAATGGTCAGGTTTTAGGTTTCCTTGCTGTGAATGCAGAGGGGAAGATGGACTCTGTTTTGCTAACTTCTGCTGGAAAGTCCGAAGGCACAAGCACATGTTGTGTGACAGAACTTCATTGAGATCCTGAATCTACCACATTCTGACTATGTGACCTTTGATGTGTTACTTACTTTACACTTTGGTTTTCTTTTTTTTCTTTTCTAGAAGGTTTTTGCCGTAGCTCATGTGTTCTTGCCAGAGAGAGAGAGAGAGAGAGAAAGAGGGAGAGAGGGAGCAGAGAGAGAGATAGTGAGAGGGAAAGTGAGAAATCACCCCCTGTGGGGATGGCCATGCTGCAATGACCTTTCCTCCATTCTCCCTTCGGGATCTTGGGCATGATCTTCTGGGCCTGCTGTGAATTTGGTCTGGGATTCCAACCACAGTACGCCATGTGGGAATCCAGAGACATAACTGCTACACCATCTGCCAACCCAAACCTTTGGTTTTCTTAATGTGAAAGATTAAATACAAATATATTAAACTGTTTATAATCACAATACTGAATTTATTCATTAAAAATTAAACACCATACTTTGTATCTGATACTTAGCAAGACCTATTTATGAGTCATTAAGATTCAGGGATGTTTATCACAGCAGTGAGCATAGCTTTTCCTACCTAATACCCAAATGGGTAGTGGATATGGGATGCTGCTCCAACAGAAACCTGAACTTGGTGGCACTGGCCTAGTAGCCAGCGGGTGAGTGGCAAGGGAATTGATTGATACAGAGGCAGGAAAGGTGAAATTTCACATCTGTAGTGGCAAAACCTTTGGCAAAATGGACACCAATGACAATGTAGAAGGCAATTTGTACCAGATAACCTTTTAGCCGTAGGGAAAAAGAATCTGTGTGTTAGCTGCATTTGGTTAGATGCTTTAAGAATGGGATGAGCCCAAGTAAGAAATGACTAAATTATAAACAGAAATAAAAGGGAATATGGAGAGGCCTATATTGCTGAAAGGAAATTCTATAGGCCTGCACTAAAAAAGTTTTTCAGATCTGGAAATAATCTCTTCCACTTACAGGAGAAGAGTTGTAGACCTACATGGTAAGCAGGCCCCTCAAAACTCACCTCTGAGGTGGCCAAGAAGAATGGGCAATGAGGGCCCCTCAGAAGAACTGACATTCATGGAAAAAAATGGACAAAGGCACTTCCCAGACCCCCAGAAAACAAAGCCAGGGCCATGTCAAGAACCTGCTCTAGGGCTGACCCTGCAACCTAGTGCTTAAAGGAGCCAGATCCCACATGGCCACCTGCAGATTTGAATCCTGACCCCAGTGGCTTGGAAGATGTGCTAAGTGTGTGTTTATGCATGACTCAAGTCCTGACAGGATAGAGAAGTAAAGGAAGGATTGTGGTATGACAACTACTCGTTGCATAGTGTTTCTTCCTCTTTTTATCTGTCTCTGGTAAGATCACATGCCCTCTGTCAATTTAAAAGAAGACAAAAAAAAACTGAACAAACAAACCAACCCAAGAACCTCCTTCACCTGCAAAGGGTGGGCCTTTCCTCTCTCTGCCTGGCCAGACCCAGCATCAATGGCTGGCTGCTGTGTTTCCATTTTCTTATCACTATTAACTATTTGTACAGTGTGTGTGAAAGAGAGAGGGAGAGAGATGACTTGTCTATCTCATTCGAAAGACGGTCACATCCAGATCTACATGGAGAACTAAGCGTAATCCAGAAGTCCTGACCGTAGAGCTGCATGTGTTGACCAGATGGAAGTCGAGGTTGTTTTTTTTTTCCTTTGAGGGAGGGATAGGCAAGTTTGGAAAGAGAAGAAAATAGGTATCTGATGACCAGAAGGTCAACTATGGTGGAAACTCTCAATGTTTACCAATGACTTTGCTTCCCTTATATTCCATAGTCTCCCTTGAAGTACAGTTGAGTGTATGATGGATTTGGGGCCATGGGCTATGAATAGAAGGCATGGGGGATACTTGACTGAGGTAGTTAAGAGTGTGCCTACTCCATATTTTCTCTCGTTCTCCTCTCTACATGGCAGGAAGCAAAAATGCAGAGGCGGTATAGAAGGAATCTTGAATCTTGAAGCATCCTGTAGAAAATTGCTGCCCAGGAGAGTTGCCTGACCTGCTTCCGACATTATTGAATAGTATACAAACTTGCATTACTTCGTCCACTGAACTTTGAGATACATATTTGTCAGAGTTAGCTACCAGTAGATGCTCTTACTAATGTATCCACCTTGAAAGATTCTCAGATTAAATGAGATTAAATAGATAGATAGATGGAAAATACATGAGATTGTGTGTGTGTGTGTATATATATATATAAAGTCATGATGTATTTTTTCTATGGAAAACGGCATAGAATTTGTCTCTCTGGTGAGTGCATGTGCCCTATAGCAAAAATATTTCAAAAAAAATGATAGTAAACCATTGTTAACTATAAGTACTATACTGTAAATCTCTAAGGTTTATTTTATTTTTTATTTATTTTTTCTTTTTTTCTTCTTTCTTTTTTTCTTTTTCTTTTTATTTTTTTTGAGATGTTTTTGCTATAAGGGTGTGTGTGCTTGCCGGACAGACAGAGAGAGATAGAGAGACAGAAAGAGAGAAATCACCCCCCAGGGGGGGATGGCCACGCCGCAATCCCTTTTCCTCCATTCTCCTCTCGGGATCTTGGGCATGAACGCACACGCGCCCGGTGTGAGTTTTAAGCCTCTAGGTCCGGGACGTGAACCGCGGTCAACTACGTGGGAGTCCAGCAATATAGCCATTACGCTAACTGCTGGTCCCCTAAGGTTTATTTATTTTATATAACTGAAGTTTTTTACCCTTTGACAGGTATTGTTGTATTAACCATAAATCCCTGCCTTTTTGCTTTTGTAAAGATAATCCAGCTAAATGCCAGTTGTAAACATTTGCATAATATATTTTTTCTATGCAAAAATGCATCATGAAGAGAAAATGCATCACGACTTTTCTGATGACCATGTATACATATATGTGTGTGTGTGCATGTGTGTATGTATGTTTGTATATACATACATATCTAACAGGACCCCAAATGATAAGTGCTCCATAATAATAGCTATTTCTTTTTTTTTGAAAATTTTTTATTATTAAATTATTTATTTGCATCCATTCATTGTACATTATTACAACATACAAGGTGAGATTTTTCCATCCAGAGTACACTGTATATTGGCTCAATCAAATGCATCAACATACATATTATCATCAACAAATAATTTTCCATTTCTTGTTTCCTGTATGTTTTGCTTTTTTCCCCTCATCCTTGATTCCCTATCTCTTACCCTCTGCCATCTCCCACTCTCCTCCTACACTGTCTCTGGTATCTATGTTTGCTTTCTATACTTTTTTCCCCCACATTTTATTCAGTCACTAAAGAGATTAATTAATCTAAATATTTTCATAGCAAGCACAACTGATATATACATTTCCATGAACACAAGTCCAACTTTAGGTTTAAGCCTCAGTGATTAGAATGAACATCCTATAAAGTAGCACCTAGCTGGGGCTATATATCTTACTGCAGTCATTGAATAGGTATTTTTAATGCATGTTTTTTAATTTCAAGAAAAACAGGGTTTTTTTTTTCTGAAACTTTTTTTAACTTAATTTACATTCTTT